GGGGGGGGGGGGGGGGGGGGGGGGGGGGGGGGGGGGGGGGGGGGGGGGGGGGGGGGGGGGGGGGGGGTCCAGTTTAGGTCATAGCGCGTCCACAGCTTGAGTCCAACAAGGAACAGGGTGCGTCGGGGGAGAGGGGAGGGGGGCACACACATTTTTGGGAGTTTTGTGGGTTGAACCAGTATGTTAGCTGATCGTAACCCAGAGGGAGTTACTGACAGGTAACAGAGGCTGACCAGCAGTGTAGCAACTTTCAGTGAACAGTCACATGACTGTGATAAATCAGATTCATCTCTTACTGCGTGCGTGTTACAGTCATTATGGCTAAATGTCAATAAATGTCAGTATTTATAATCATTTATCCAATAAATTCTACTGACAGCCGAGCTCAGAAAAATGCATTATAAGCCTTGACTTGTTCAACCCACTCAGTGTGATGCGCACCCCCCACCCCACCCCATCAGGATGCAAAGTGACCCCAGAGGCCAGTGCGTGGCCTGGCCTGGCATCACCTGACCGGAGCGTACCTTGCAGTGTGTGGTACTGATAGGGAGTCCGATATTGGAGGCGAACACGACAGTGAGTGCGGAAGCCAGCTCAATAGTGAACCCACTGCAGAGAGACACAAACCTCACGGTCAATCTGAAATCAAGCACTGCGTGGCCCCACCCCGGGGCGGAGCCTCGGAGTCAGAGGGGGTACGATCACCATGAGACAACTCCACCACTGGGGGCAGCTACAGTACCAGAAGCAACTGCCCCACCTCTGGTCAACTGAAACAGGAGGGGCCAAGTCGCATGCGAAAAGGGAAAGGCCCCCACCCCGGGGCGGGCGTACATGGCCAGACGGGACGGGTCACATTTCGAGGAAACGGCCCCGCCAGCAGGGGCAGGCTGCGGTAACCGCAATATCCACAGTAACCGCAGCGGCAGGTCTGCATGCATGTCACGCAGGTTTCAGGTGACTAAATTAACAAGTGAGAACACGTGTAAATACAGAACCTCTGTTCAATAATGAATACCTCCAGAGCTGCATGGGTGCTCGGGCCGCCAGCCCATGGCCCTCTCCATTTACGCGGCTGTGCAGTCGCAATGAATGCATCTCCATTTGATTAATATCTACTGCAGCACAGAGCGTCTACTTAAGCGTAAAGGCAGCGGAGTGGGGTTTCATCTTCACTCTTACACAGTCCTTGTAGAGACTGGCACAGACTATAGAATGTGATCTACAGACAAAAGTTTGCATAACAGGGTAAAGTTCTCAGCACGATCGCTGTGGAGATCTGGCCCCCCAGGAGTGTGGAGGGGGGGGGTGGCACAGGAGGGGATCAAACAAACAATTAGTCACTGGCTGGAAAATGGATGAAGTTTCAGGATGATGGAACAGAGTTGTCACTTTGGGAAAAAAAAACCCATAGAATGTCACAGCAAAACGAATTCCCCTTGGAATGAGGCAAAGACGCGCAATTTGCCTTTTCGGTTTGAAAGATGGGGGGTGGGGGGGGGCAGCCTTTGTGAATGCGGAGGAAAGGGTGACGACCTGGCCTAGTTCCCTTGGCTCTCGCACTGCTACTCATGTCAAGTCGTATACATGGAGATTGTCCGCTGGCTGGCTGGCGCTCCGACTGACATTCCGTCTCCCAGGATGCCCTGGGTCCGCTCACTTCCTGCCGGCCTCTTCTGAGGACAAATGACCACACAAACGACCGCCCTGGCAACCGGGCCCTGGCACGGGGGGGGGGGGGGGGGGGGGGGGGGGGGGGGGGCGGGGGTTTACTTCAGTAGCTCCCGTGACGGCAGCCTACCCTCTTCTCCTCCTTGCCATTGTCTAGCCAGATTTAGATGTTTCTAATTCTGTGTCCACCCCAGCTGTCAGCGGAAGCTTCCGGATGCCCCCGCCCAACAGATCGGACGACTTCCTGGCGGCTCAGCAGCGTTTCTCGTGTTCCCAGCTGACGCATCCCATTGTTACCGTGTGGCTGGCAGCCATGTGCTGCCCAAACTATCTGTAGGAGGCGCCATTTTCCAGAAAATGGACCAGTATGACTGGAGAACAGGTGCAAATTCTTAAGAACATCAGTTACCCTTCCTGAAGGACGTTTTATGACCGGCACAGGTGTAAGAACAAGCAGGACGCACCCATCCCACCAAACTCTGCTCTGTTTGAGCGCCACCTGCTGGCTCCTTAACATAATTCTCGAATCCAGTACAAAACTAATAGGTGACGGTTCTCATTAGTTGCTATGGTCACGCAAGTGCACAAACTCCATGATGGCAAAAGCAACTCGTTTGGGGGGGTGTAAGAGACACTGAGAATGCTGTGACAGGTCATACACACTGACACCCCCACCGAGCACACGGTCTCACCTGGAGGGGGTTATGGGGGTCAGGTCCTTGCCCATGGTCTGGATGACACGGCGCCCCCACACCCACAGGCCGGCGCAGATGCCCACGCCCCCATAGAAGAGCAGCCAGATGGGCGTGACTGCATCCTGCATTACCCCACCTTGCTCGTAGATCATCCACAGCGCCACCAGGGGGCCGATAGCATTACTGCAGCACAGAGGAACACGCCATGTGTATGACTTCCTGCCAAAATACTTACTCTTTAAAAACTCAGATTTAAAATGTATTTTTAATTTGGGGGAGGTGTGTGTGTTTTAAGGGGGGGGTGTCTCGGTGGCCAGGGTACCTGACGTCGTTGCCACCGTGGGCAAAGGAGCCGAAGCAGGCAGTGAGGATCTGCAAGAAGTGGAAGAGCAGGAAGACCTGAGCCTTGTCCTTCTCCTCCTTGTCCTCCTCGGCCGGGTCCTCCATGCCCAGCGGGGGAGGGGCCTCCAAGGAGTCGGCGGCCAGCTTCATCTCGACCCCGCCCTCCTCAGCCTCGATCTCGGCCTCGGCCACGGCGTTGCAGTAGCTGGAGTAGCTGTCGTAGCGAACGCGCTTCTTGGAGTAAGAAACGCTGTCACCCACCAGCTTCTCGCTGTCCTCGGGCGCGGCGCCCGTATCGGTTCGCAGCAGCGGCTGCACGGGCATGCCGCAGATGGCCGCCGTGTAGCACGTGTAGCTGTTGTTGCGACGCAGCAGCCGGTAGCTGTTGTCCGGGCCGCCGCCGGGCCGCTCGTCTTCCAGCCGGCCCAGGTGGATCTTGTGCAGCAGGTCCTTGTAGAGGCCCGAGTCCTTGTGCACCGTGTGGTAGACCTGGCCGTCGCTCCGCATGTGCCCGTCGAAGCTGAAGCTGCCGTTGGAGATCGGTGACTTTAAGCAGCCGTTGGTCATGGAGTGAGTGCGGCCTGTGGACAGGAGGCAGCAACAGTGCGTTAGCACGTTAGCGTGTTACTACCCAGTGGGATTTGATGGCGTGACGTGCCATGATGGACTACAGCGAAGACGGGCTATCTCAACTAGGTCGGGACTTGTTAGCGACACGAAAGTTGATTTGTAGCAGTGGGAAACACCAGGGAGCAGCAGCCTCACCATAAACCCTGCCATTGGGCAGCACAGCACCCCCATTGGCCAGGCTGCTCAGCTCCCCCGCGGACTGGGTCAGGGGGACCACGGCGTCGTCCGTCCCCTTGGCCCCCGGCAGTTCCTTGAAGACGGGAGCCTCCTCTTCCTCTTCTGGGATCTTATCCAAGCTCTCGTCCGATATCCTGGAGAGAGCGTGCTCCTTCTTCAGCCGGCCTGCAGCGGGAAGGACAAGCAGTCAGCCATCATCCCCGGAGGTGACAGATTGCAGACTCCCCCCGCCCCCCCCCCCCCAGCAGAGACAAAGGGCTGAAGGGGGCGGAGAGGTATATATTAGGCACTCCAGAGGAGACGGACTAAATTGTTTTTACGTGGAAGGCTGAAACAAATTTCGATCCTTTGCTGACAGGGTGACATAAAAATAAAACACCTTTGACCTCAATCTCACACCATGTGTGGCAGCCCTGAGAAACCGTACCAGCAGATAGTGTGGGGGGAGGGAAGGGGGGGGAGGATATGCAGGTTGGCTGTGACGCGTTAGCGACGGTTCAGCTCGGCCAGGGAGATGGGGGCAGACGTAACAGCGAGGGGTATACGGGAACGGCGGTAAGAAGAACAGAAATAAACAGACACTGCCGTTAGCGGTACTGTAAGCAGCTCTAATAGTTACTGCAATAAGCCACCGGTAACAGCAATTAAATCATACATTTGCATAAACCATCAAATTATTCACATAATTTTCTCTGAAAATGCTTTTACCCAAAAGTTCCGGGTCTTCCAGGTCAATTACGGAGATGTGTATGCAACTGGCTCAGTTGGAACATTTAATGGTACAACAGCGGCGTCCCTTGGGAAGTTCTAACCCCCGCCCCCCCATCCTCCCCGATTGGGCGAAACGCCAGCCCTGACGTACCCGCGAATCAGCCCTTTTGCATTTGCGGACCTGCAGGTGGGGGGGTTGAGTGCCCCGCCAGAGGCCACAGATCAAACAGCGAAAGCCCCCGCCGTCGCCGCTCTCAGCGTAATAATAACAACAGACTTGCTTAACACAAGCTTGTATCTGGGGCAGCGTAACACACAGCTGTGCCCTTGACCGGTTTTTCCACTTTCCCCGAGCACACAGCAGGTATTACCCGCGAGGTCCGAGCCCGCCCGGGCTCCATAATGGATCAGAACGTCGGGGAGGGAGACAAGGCTGGGGGGGGGGGGCAAACACCTACTTGCTATTTTCCTCCTCATCCACGGGCAGACGAAGATCCAGACCAGTGCTGCACAGACCAGAGATCCAGCCAACGTGATCAGGGCTATCGCCCAGACCGGCAGCATCTCCAGGCCCAGCACTGAGGGCGAAGAGCATGTAAATTAGCGAGCGACTGGGGGCCAATTTCTTCTTTCTTTCCAGGAGTCAGCTCCGGACTTACAGGGGGCTCCGGTGTACATGATGGAGAAGGTGTTGATACCAATGGTGGAGGCATAGAAGAGAGGTAGAGCTCGGAGGCCATTGGGGACCGGGTCATCCTGTGAAGCAGGGGAGCGGGTTATCTTTCCAACTCCCAAAAACGTTTCAGCCTCCATCAGCAAAACGCCAAACTTCACTATCCTCACCACGAACAATGACACGCTTCTAAGACTCACCGTCAAAACAGATGCCTGTTTTTCTGGCAATTAAACAATGGAAAAGTGCTGTCTACCCGCTCTCTTCCCGCCGAGACCGCAGTTGACCAACAGGAGGTGCTGGTCAGTTCCTGAGCCGCGACCTCAACCAAACCAAAGCAAACTTCGCCGGGCATCTCGTGCAGGGCCTTCTTGCAGAGCCACTGGCTGCCCACAGGAAGTTGAGAGGCTGTGGTATTCGTGACTCGCCCACAGGACGGCCACGGGGCAGCCGCAGGACAGCAGGAAAGCCGGGGGCACATTCCTGCACTGGCCTCCGCCTCAATTCTGCCTGAACCAAAGCGCCTTTAACCTCCCTAACAGCTGCACAAAGAAAACCTCCAGCTGACGCAGCTCCTGCATCGGAACTTTCCTCGCCCGTATGCCACCTTGGCCAAAAGCATCTGCTAAATAAATAAGTGTGTCACTTATTAACATCACGGAGTGTAAGTAAGTAAGTAAAGATTGTCTGTGAAAGGAGCTTAATAAACGAGCCACAAAGCGCTGTACAAAAAAACCAAACAGAAACAACATAAAGACACACCAGTGAAAGTAGAGAAGGAGCAAACTCACCTTGCTGAGGATGAAGTACCTGATGAGAAGGAACAGTAATCCAGACATGATTCCAGACAGAAGAGGGGAGATGAACCATGAGGCAACTGAAGAGGGAGAGCAGAGTGTAACCGCAGTATCAAAGCCCCCCCCTCCCCACCTCCTCGTTCTCCATCCAGGCCCGAAACAGGAGACAAACTTCTCCAAAAACAAGCACCAAACACACCTCGTTCTTTACAGCTACCTGAAGCTCCCTCAACTAACCAAACCCAACATCCACCATCCCCTCATTCTCTGTACAAACTGCCCCCCCCCCCCCACCACACACACGCGAACACAATTCCATGTACTTTACCACACTTGTTTCTGCTGTGTCACCCGAAAACATACACCCCCTACACAAACTGCACAGTCAAGCCAACCCACACAACTTCATGGTTAGTTTGTGGAATTACACACAAAAAAAAAAAAAAAAAAAATGTATCTGAAACCAGTAATCAAAAAAAGCGAGAGTGACTCACCGATCTTAACGAGCTGCATCCACTGGACGCCCTGCGTGCCGATGGCTACCATGGAGAAGCCGATGGTGGAGCCCACGATGCAGTGGGTCCCGGAGATGGGCAGCTTCAGGAAGGAGGCAATTAACTGCCACACCGCGGAGCCTAAGGAGCGAGAGGAGTGATGGAGCAGGGTCACCAGCCATGACGCGGCTCTGCACTAAGCATCACGCTCGTCTAACCTCTGAAGGGATCAGGCACATGTCAACACATATGGAGTCAAAGACCAAAATGAAGCATCGAAAGCTGAAAGGCTTTCCAGAGCATATGAGGCGGCAACAGGCACATTCAACATTTTCCAGAAGCCAAACTCGCTAATAGGAACAAGAAAAACATCAAAGGGAGTGTTCCAGCTGACCCGGGCAATGCTGAATCATTCAGTTCCTCGCATTGGCAGCCCTCTGTCATTGTCACCGAAGCCGGCCAATCATCCAACCCTTTCACTGCTTCAAGCTATGATTCTCAGGTCAGTCGCCTCCAGTCACCTCACTTCAAAATATTTCCAACCAATCGGCTCCATTCTGCATGCCGGTAGACCAATCAATGCCCTTCTTAACATCCCGCCAAACTGTCAATCTCTAACCAACAACCATTCAATTCCCAAAGAATAGAGGGTGTCCGGATCGTTGCCCTAACCTTCTCAGTTTTCAGCGTTTTGACTTCCTAGCAATTCCACCATATTACAACTAACCATAGGCAAAACGGACCCGAGACACAAAGTAAACAGAACAGAATACAACATCTGAGACAATAATAACATCAAGTAATAACAAATGATGAAGTCCAGTTTAGCTACTTCCGACATTTGGAGCAGACTTTGATTCCGGCACCATGCTTTCGGCCGGCAGATGCCTCTTCTCTACACGCTCTGTCTATCCCGAGTGCTTTCTTTACATGCCGTACAACACATGGCATCTCTTGGGAGGGTTACAGATGACCGGAAGACCAGCATCACCCTCGCTGTGCTTGCTGGCAGCCAGGAAAGCAGCAGCACTCGGTACGCGTGGGGGGGGGCTGCTTCACAGCAGGCCCAGCTGAGATACCCTGACTGATTTTCACCCTCAACACAGCATGAGCCTCACTCCCGGACATCATCACTTAATAAAACGGCTCAGACACGACCTCTCATGCCAATCCCACAATCAGAGGTATGATTTCTGTGTCCTCCTGGCTACAATGTCCTGCACCTCCCATAGTGCATTCTGTACTTCCAGGGTCCTGCCCCAAAACTCCCCTCTCTGCACCTTTCTCAAGCTTGTTCTGAATCCAGATGCTGCATTGAACAGCTGCAGCCCGTTCCTTGAGACAGGAATTGAGAGAAACTGGACCTTGCAGCATTTTGCATTTTTTTTAAGTAGTGTTACTGATCTGCATTGTGCTCTTCCAAGGCTATTTGTTTATTATTTAATTATCCTTTCTATTTATTATTTAAATTATCCTATTTATTTTCTGTTGTTCTTTGTACTGGTTGTGGCGGAACAAGTTATTATTCTAGTTCACTTGTTGCACTTGGTCAACAAAACATCTATAATCATCATACTAAGAGCAGCCGAGTATCACATCATCAAGCAGGAAGAAGCACATCTCAGCTCATGCGGTGAGGAAATGTCGCTACCTGTAGATCAGGAGTGTTTAGTATCAAGGGTCATGTCATCAGAGAAGACTCGCGTACAGGAAGGTCTTCACATCACACTAACGAGGAAAGGACCAAAGAGCAGAACTATAAGGATCTACGTCTACGTTGGTGCAGCACATAGGGGTAAATCTTAAAGCATCCATGGGCAGAGCACACCATTCACATCACCTGAGCAAGTCTCTCTACTCAATGTACCAAATATTCAGTGGCAACGTCACCCCTGAGACAGACACTGCGGCAGAGGCTGCACCTGTCCGTTTTGAACAAGCCAATGGAAAAACCCTCATTTGCATAAAGTACAAAGACCACCAGCTTAACGACTCACCACATTCAACAGGCACACTTACATATCCATAATAATGGCAAGCACACCATTAGCCATGGAGCAGGACAGAGCAAATGTGCGAGAACCAAGTGATTATCTCTATTTACATAGTACCAAAGCACGGGAACCTGGACAATTACCTCTAACCGCATAAATTAGAGATTATGGACTACAGATTCATTTTGTTGTCAAACTCGTAGACAAGGAGAGGCCCCACGTTTGTGTGTCATTAAGGGAATCATGACGAACTCGGTTCAACAAGAAAATCATCAGCATCGACAGTACAGTTGAGGGCAAGAATCCACAAGCACTGCGCTATGGATGCTGAAATCATAGCGCAAGCATCCTTCCATCACCATTTCACATTCACCACACAGCAGTTACCTTAGCAGCCGCTACCGTGCACATGTTGTCGTGGATACCAGGAGGAGGGCTACTTACCCACCATTGCGCTGACCTCCCCAGCCATGAGGACGGGCACCGAGTCATTGTAGAGGTTCACGTCAATGATGCCCTTCCGGATGGTCTCTCCAACTTTGGCCCCCAACAGCACGGAGCCCAGCGTCTCGAAGATGGAAGCCAGGATGCAGGCCTGCCGCAAGGTGACCACGCCCGAGCCCACAGCCGTGCCGAAGGAGTTGGCCACGTCGTTGGCGCCCACCGAGAAGGCCAGGATGAAGGCGATGATGAAGCCCACCACCACCAACCACAGGTACGACTCCAGATCCATCTTGACTTCTTGAGTCAGAATT